TAAATAAACCAAAAATCAGCTCTAAAAATATAAACCATAAAAATCTGCTTAAAATAAACACAGTTACTTTACCAGAGCAAAATCATAAAATCATTAAATGTGGATTATTGAACATCGGATCTCTTTCCTCTAAATCCCTGTTAGTTAATGAACCGATAACTGATCATCATATTGATTTATTGTGTCTGACAGAAACTTGGCTACAACAGGAGGATTTTGTTAGTATAAATGAATCCACTCCTGTTAATTAATTCAATTTTCATGTTCCTAGAACAACTGGTCAGGTGGAGGAGTAGCTTCTATTTTTCAGTCAGGATTATTGATTAATGCCAAATCAGTTATTAGTTATGATTCTTTTGAATCGCTGTCCCTCATTCTTTCTCATCCAAAATGGAAATCAGAAAAGCCAATTTTACTAGTTGTTATATATCGTCCACCAGGCGCTTACTCTCAGTTTTTGTCTGAATTCTCAGAATTATTAACTGACTTATTATTAAATACTGATAAAATCATCATAATGGGTGATTTCAATATTCATGTGGATGTTGAGGGTGATAGCTTAAGCATAGCCTTTAATAATTTAATAGACTCATTTGGTTTTATCCAAAACGCCTGCACATCTACTCATTCTTATCATCACACTCTTGATTTAGTTCTGACCTATGGTGTAGAGATTAAGGACTTGGTAATAGTTCCTCAAAATCCTGTTCTGTCCGACCATTTTTTAATAACTTTGAGTTTACATTAAATGACTACACAGTCACTGAGAGTAAATTTCATCTCAGCAGGTGCTTATCAGAAAATGCTGTAACTAAACTGAAACAATCTCTTCCATCAATGTTTTCCTCTGTCTTGCAGAGTAATGCCTCAGAGAACAGAGACTTAGATCATCTAGTTGATACTTTTACAACTACTTTGCAAACTTCACTTGATAAAATTGCTCCACTGAAAAAGAAAGTAATCAATCAGAGGAAACTGGCTCCTTGGTTCAATTCTGAGTTACGTAATTTAAAGCAGCATCTAGAAACCAGGAGAGAAAATGGCGCTCTACTAATGTTGAAGAATTTTATTTAACTTGGAAAGATAGTCTGCTAACATATAAAAAAGCTCTCCGTAAAGCTAGAACTTTATATTACTCATCTTTAATAGAGGAGAATAAAAATAAACCTAGGTTTCTGTTTAGTACTATTGCTAGACTAATTAAAAGTCCCATTTCTGTTGAACCATGTATCCCTACAACTATAAGTAGTGATGACTTCATGAGATTCTTTATAAATAAAATTATTTCAATTAGAGAGAAAATTCAAACCATCCTTCCTTCTACTATCTCTAGTCCCCTGTCAAATGAGGCAACTTTAAAAATGTCACTAGAGCCTGATTTATGTTTGGACAGTTTTTGTCCTGTTGAGCTCTGAATT